TTTATTAATAAGTAACAAATATAAAAATTAATTATTAATTTTAAACAAAATATAATTTTAGAGGTAGAATAATAATATTATATTATATATATTTTAATTATTGGATATAATAATCTAATAATATATAAGTAATTAGTATTATGATTAGTTGTATTAAACAAATAAACTTAAACTTTTTATGAACAAAATTTAAAAATTATATTGTAGAATTTGTATATATACAATTATACTTAAATTATTTTTGCTGTATATAAAATTAACACTTAAAATCAAATGTTATAATTTAAAATTTTAAAATTAAAACTAAGCTAACCATATCAAGTCATATCATGTCATGCAATGCCAATAACCAATAGGTAGTAGATAATTATATCATCTTTATTTTTCATTGTACATTTTTACTATTTGTTATTTAAAGGGTTAATTATTTAAATTATATTAATATTATATATAAGTAATTTTGATAGTTTTAAAAAAAGTTTTAAAGTTTTAAGATTAGATCATTATTCCAATTAAGTAATCAATACTAATAATTTTTTTTTGACATTATGGTGCTATTTAGTGTTGACTGTTGGTGGATTTTCTCGAAATTATCTAATTACTTCTTTTTAATTCATTACTAATGAATAATGTGGATGAATACATTTGTATGAAATATTAATATGAATTACTAATAATAAATTAATAGTAATTAATGCATGAAACGTTAAAATTAAATACTAAATATCAATCAATAAAGAATCATTAATAAAATTTATCACAAATAAAGTTAGTATTATATTTATTGCAACATAATTTTTCATTATTAACAAATTACTTTTAAATTATTTAACTTTGATATTTTAATTTAGTATAATTTAATTATATTTATTTTATTTAAAAAGTTAACAATCCAAAGTGTTAAATTATAATATCCAAGAGTCAAATTTGAAAATTTGAAATCGAAATTATATGAATCCAAAATAATTTAAATTCAAAATAATCTAAATCTAAATTGACTCAAACCAAAAAAATAAAATTTAAAATGACTTAATTTTTTTTTACCTGAACCTAATCTAATACGGAACCCAAATTATATAAACCCAAAATGATTCGATTGTTTTTTAACTTAAATCCGATCTAATCCCAACCCAAATTAATGATTCAAATTTTCTTTAACCCAAAATAATCAATAATCCAACGTAAACCCAATCCAACCCACACATTTCCCACTATTTATAACTTTTCTTAAATGCATTGAAGCCACGCTATTGAAGTTCCAACTCCAAATTAAAACTCAAACGGAAAGCTGCTGAGTTGTAGAAGCTCGTCCCAGTCTTCGCAAAGTCTATTGAAGTTCCAACTCCAAATTAAAACTCAGACGGAAAGCTGCTGAGTTGTAGAAGCTCGTCCCAGTCTTCGCAAAGTCTTCTTTAACATTTAATGCTAAGTTGTTGAAGTAGGAAAGTCTTTGCAAAGTCAGCAATTCAATTATTTTATAACAAATGTGCATTCAACTAATAAACTTGCAGTAGGATAAATCATTGAGCCAAAACAACAGTTATCGAGTCTTAGTTGGCAACTGCAAGCAGAGGAACAACACTCATTTTATTTATCCCTGTAAGTTGAGTGTTTTTATTTTAACCCTTTTATGAATTTCATATACTATTTGTAATTAGTGCAGTTAAATTAATCACTTTGATTCAGTCATTTTTTCATTTGTTTGAAACTGAAAGATGGAGGCTCATAATATTTGTTCGAGTGCAATTGTTGGCGAAGTTCTTAAAGGAAAAGAGAACTATGCAAACTGGAGAGCTTGCATAAGAAACTATTTGAGGATTCGAGATCTGTGGGACGTTGTGGAACAAACTTCAGAACCTCCCAAACAGGAAGAAATTGGCGATGAGGCCGATTTGACGAGGAATTTGAGTGCTTTACATGCTATTCAAATTTCATGTGCTCCAAACATGCTTTCTTATATTGTAGACAAGACTACTGCTAAAGATGCTTGGAACACTTTGGCCCAAATGTTCCAACCGCCACCTACAGATGCTCTGACGCAACCAGGTCTCTCTCTCTCTCTCTCTCTCTCTCTCTCTCTCGTTAAAACAAAATAGACATGAGTAAAAAGCATAGGAAAAGGAATGAAAAATTGAGAGCTAGGAAAGAATATACCCTTTCTTGGAAATTCAAGAAAACGAATATGTTAAGACCAACTAGTCGTTTTGGTTATGGATCATTTAGATGGGTGCTTAGGCGGTGCATAGTGTTTTTTATGGTTTAATTGGTGGCTTTTGGGGACTGGTGGTGGTGTAACGGTGGCTGGAGCTGGTGGTTGTTTGGAGTATTTTAACTATAATTCTTTTTATTATAATGTTTTAATTATCCGATCATAATTGAAAATTACATGAGGGTCCATCACTTATAAAGAGTGGACTCTATGTAATATTTTGATAATCGCTACACAACTCTAAAGTAGTGTTTGATATATGATGATCACTCCAAAATCATGATAATTTATATATAATAATTAGATTAATATATTTAATAAGTGTTCGGTGATCTTTCATAATAATGATCCTTAATCACAAAGAGCAATTATATCACTATCTTGGATGATGATTTAATTCTTATACAATTCTTATACAAAAGGGTGGAAAACTTTTACCACTAAAGTGAAATGGTATGTAAAATTAATAATAGTTAATATTATTCATTTAATATATGAATTAAAAAATTACTTTCTCTTAAAATTATAATTATTTTATATTATAATTTTTATATTTTGAAGTTAATATTCATTGTAACAAGTTCAAAAACAATTTGTATTTTTTTTTATTTTTTAACATTTTATATATAATTTAATTTTTTATAATGAATTTAATAGATTATATTTATATTCTAATTCAAATATTTTTTATATAATTTATATTATAAAAATTAATTTACCTATCAATAAACATATTTATTAATTTAATAATTTAATTATAAAATAACTAAAATATTACTAATATTTTACAAATTATTAACTTAAATAATATTAAAATTATTAATTTATATAATTATTATAATATGTATGGTTATTTTTGTAATTTTTAACAAAATAATGTTTGATTTTTAGTAATACCAAATATAGTGATTTTTAATTTCTAAGAAGTAATGATTATTAATTAAAGAAAGCGATTTTAAATCATCAATGATAAAATTACTTTAAGAATAAGATCACCTTGATAATTACATTATCATGATAATTTACAAAAAAAATCAAATGCTACCTAAAATTTGATTAATTAATTATAATATAATTATTTTGGTGATATATTTATGTTATTTTGGTGGGGTTATGGGTAGTTCTCACGCACAAGTTTTCAACCAAGAGCAACTAAGGGCATTTTTGTCTTGAAAATAAATATCTGATTGCATTTAAATATATAAATTATACATATTACACCAAATAGTATTTGATTTTCATTAAATTGTTTAAATTCCACCACACCGAAGGGTAATTCTCCCAATTTTATTTGAATTTATATTCATGTACGTATAAATTATATATACTATCAATAAACTACATGATGTCATCTTTTTTATGAAAAATTTTTATAGATAAAATTAAGTTTTTGTATGTTTATTTTAAGCACTTGTAAAAATTTGTGTTTATTCATTAATAAGGTGGGATTTATTAGTTATGTATAAAATTTATACACTAATAATACATTAAATATAAATATATTTTATTTTATTTTATTTTAAAAAAATTCTTTGACTGATTATTTTCCACTACAAATAAAATTTTATAGACTAAATAAGAGTTTTCGGCAACCATCTCTTGATCTAGTAGAAGAAGATGATTTATATGGTATGTAGGCTTGGATTTGGGCCCAGCCCAAACAATCCTTTCCCATACATTTTATATTTGCAGGGATTATAAATAATAGTATTTGATTGATTATACAAAAGTACTATCTGGTCTAAGTATAAATATTCCGTTGAATTAAAATTAGTACTCCTATGAAAAAATATGAAACATAAGGTAACAAACGATAGTACGATAGAAGTTATTTGTTTGTAAAATAAATTGTATACATTTTTTAAAAAGGAAAACAAGGTTTAGCAAAATATGGATGAAATTATTAAATTAGAATAAAATTTAAGGACATTTCAAATTCAATCATAAATGTTACTCCTTCTATCTCATTTATTTTGTCCATCTTTTTTTTTGGGATATCTCAAAATTATGTCCTATTTCTTTTTTTAAATAGCTAAAACTCTTACTTTTTATATTTTAAAATTATATTTTATTATTTTTTTTAATTTTTTGTTATTAAAAATCATGAAATTTTAATTTTATAAAAAATATTTAAAATTTAATATTAAATACATTAAAGTCAAGGTTTTTTATTTTTAAACTCTGTAAAAATCAATACGTGGCAAAGATTTTAGATCGGAGGGAATAAATATAAATATATATAATATTTAAAAAATCACAAAGTCAAAATATTTCTTAGTCTACATACCAGCCAAAATGGTTACTCTACTTGTAATGCAGGTAGCATTAAAAAAATTAGTACAGAATTCTATTAATATTATTAATTAATAAACTATTATTTTTAATAACATCTTTTGGTACAAATCAATTTAAATTGAAATATTAAGTTTTTTTCTTTTTTGCTGCTGATTTGTATATAAAAAAATCAAGTAGATATATAAAAACTGCAAATAACATTTCAAAAATTATTAAATCCAATGGAAATAAAAAATAAAATAAAACTAATAAACCTAATATATTAAACAGTCCAAATGCCACGATAGGCAATTTTGATATGATATCCAAACTTCAGGGTCATTAAATAAATATTTAAAAAAAAAACAATTTTGTCACATCAATTAATGCATCAAATGTAAAGGTTTTGCTATTTGTTTATTTTTGAAAGCAAAAAGCCAAGATCGTGTTTGGATATAAAATCATAGTTTTATTTTTTAAAGTTATAAAGAAAATACGTAATTCTTGAAATAACAGGATGCGTGATTCTTCTTATATATAAACTTATTATATTATAATTGGTGACAGTGGCCGAGGTTGTTGAACGCGCTCATACTTTGAAATTGCTCAAGTTTATTAGCGGAAGTGACTTGGAAGCCGCGAATTGTCTCCTTACGGCGAACCGGCATTTAGTCAATGCCAAAATATTTCTGACCATCGAGCGCAGGCCCCTTCATTCCGCAATCACGGAAGGCAGCCTGGAAATGGTTGATGAATTGCTAAGTTACATGTCGGAAGAAGACGTGAAAATACAAGATGAAGGGGGTCGCACAGCTCTTCACTTTGCCGCCATGTCCCCTGGAAACACCAAGATTGCAGAAAGCTTGATCAGAAAGAACAAGGAATTGCTTACTATTCCAGATGATCAGGGTAAATATATTCCACTTGTCTTCGCTTGTCAGACAGGCCATAAAGATATAACTCACTACCTTTATAAGGAGACTACACCTGCATATCTACTCTGTCCAGAAAATCAAAATCAAGCAGCCTCGGTCGTCATTGAGTGTGTTCGCAGCAAATTATTTGGTAAATACTAATAAAACCCCTTTCTTTCTTATTTAATATATCTTGTGGGGTTTTTATCTTATAGACTCCGTTTGTGAAAGTTATCATAAATTTTGACGTGGTTTAATTATAATCATAAAATCCTTTATAATCATAAAATCTTTACTCATAATAAATAAATAAATAATTTTTTAAAAAATATTTTAATTAGATAAATTTAATTTTTTATTAATTAATATGATTTTAATTGAAATTTCATAATTGTAATTAAACCGCGTTAAAATTTTATGTTAATTCCCATTAAGATGAATCAGTGGAATGAAAACTTATATGTTGTAATGGAGTATATAAGGGTTTTATATATATATATATATATCTTCACTTCACCAGATGTTGCTTTGGATATGCTCCATCGTTGCCCAAGGTTGGCAGTTGCTAAAACAATCAATGGACAGAGTGCTGTTTTAATGTTGTCTTGTCAACCTTTTGCATTCCTTAGCTGTTGCGGGCTCACATTTTGGCAACGCATGATCTATTCTTGTCAGTATCGCTTCTCTCTATTTCACTATCAAATTAGTTTTCTATCCGATTTCTTGTTAATCAAGATAATCCTTTTTTTCCAAAAAAATTAATGATGCCTCATAAACGTCTTCTAACTTTACTAATATATATATATATATATATATATAATTTTTTAATATTTTATTGTATGAAATTAAAGTTATTGACTTTTATTTTATTATAATTAATATACAAAACATTTTATTAATTGTTAAATTTTTTAGTTGGATGATTCAATTTCTAGAAAGTGCTTCTTTAGATTTATCTGAATGTGCTTAATGATAAATATTTGAGAAAATGTTATTTCATAAATTTCATCAATTGGACATTATTCATTGTTCTTAAGATTTAATAAATATAATTACAGTTAAATAAAAGTTTAGAGTCTTAATTTCATATAATAAAATATCCATAGCTTATTTGCATTTTGGAATGCAGTATGAAGATTTATTTGAGTATTAAACTTTTTTTAAGAACCACGTGATTGAGGATTTCAAAGTTTAAGTGTTGAAAATGATAAGTGGCTTTTTGCTTCTTAATGTATTAACTCAATTCTATTTAAGGAAAAAATATTATCTAATTGCATTAATCTCATATTTTTCTTTTTAACAATTTATTCTTTTCCTTTTTAAATTTTACCAATTGAAAATAATTATAAAATCATATTTCGTATTTATAAAGGATTAATACAAGTTTTACTTAGTATTTAGTTTTCTGTAACATACCAAAGGACTTTTTTTTTTTTATCATAAATTCAATATTTAATTTTTCAAAACTAAAAATTCAGTACTTAATTTTCAATGATCAATGGATTTGTTCAATTTATTTCTAAAGTAGATATGGGATAAATAGGTAACAAGTATGTTCAATTAAAAAAAAAAAAAGGAATATTTGCCACGTCATTTACATACAAGTGGCTAAACAAATCCATGTGGCATAAAAATTTTTATCCTTCAATTTGGTTAAATATTGGTTCATGGTTAAGTCCGTTACTAATAAGCCTAAATTGAATGGTACTGATATAAAGAGATCCTAAAATTAAAACTTGTGCAAAGTTGAGGCTCCAAATGTTGATTTTAGCCCTAAGAAAATAAGTGCACAAAACGCTTAAAAAAAAATTGGTTTGCACCTATGAAAATAAAAGTAGTGGTGAATGTGCAAAAATACTAGCTAAAATAGTACATTATTGTCGAAGGTTTAAGGGCGTCCGTAGCTTTGTCTAGTGTTGACGACGTTCGAATAAATACTCACCAACAACAAAATCAAAAGGAAACGAAAAATTTCATGATGCAAGGTATGTTCTTCATCAATTGAATAAAAGTACACTTCATTTATTAACATTTGGTTTTCTTATAATATAAATAATTTTCGTTTTTACATATTAAGGTCACTCTTGCAGGGGAAGAGAAGCTACTTGGATTGTGGTCATGTCTCTTGAAACTCTTAGGTACGTTACCTGATTGCTTAAGTGCTATATATATATATATATATATATATGTATGTATACATACACACACATACATATATATATAATATAAAGATATTTGATAAGGTTTGCCACATTGATATTTAAATGAATATTATATATATATCTATATTACAACATATAAAGATATTTGATAAGGTTGGCCACATTGATACTTAAATGAATATTTCTTTTTTTTTTTTTTGACACATGGACAATACCTATTGTACATGATTCAAATTCAAATATCAAAATTTTTAAAAATAAAATCTTAACCAAATTATTTATAATTAATTCTCTATAATTTTTTTAAAAAAAAATAAAAAATCTCATTAAGTTGTAATAAAAATATAAAAACTTAAAAAAAATAATCTTATTTGATTAAGCTTTCACCTGGAGATGTCTCTTTTTAAATTTAAATTTCTCAAATGGATATTTTTATTTTGGTAACTTTCTTTATAATCCTTTAGTCTTTGATTTTTTTTTTTTTAAATTCAAAAACATAAATATCACTTATTATATATATGTTTTAAATTCAAAAAATATTTATCATCAATTCAAAGTTAAACATCCTAATTATCATCCAACATCTATAAATAGTATGAGCTAATTTATTGTTCAATTATGTATATTTTCTCTATAAAAAACAATAATATTTTTATTTCTCATTCTTTTTTATATTTATATCACAATTATAATAGTGAAGGTATGTCAAAATTTTTGATGATTTAATTAAATTTTTATTCAATTGATTTGAAGGAAAAATATTTGTACAATAATAGCCTTTCTATATAATGCAATAGTCATATGAGGTTAAAATTTTGCTTAATGTTAAAACCCACTTCTTCCCTTTCTTTTCTAATTTTTCATTCCTATCATACTTGTTGTCTTATTATCTACTTATTGACACAAAAATACATATATAATCCAAATTGAAATTTTAAGTAATGTGAAAACCTATTTGTTTCCTTTTCTTTCCCTATTTTTTTTTTCCATAGTTATATTTGTTTCTTAACTCTTTTCAAGTTTAGTCTACAACAAATATTGATTTGAATTTGAATTTGAATTTATTTTTTAATTTAGATATATAATTTCATTTTTTAAATTTACAATTTATTATTTGCTCCATTTCTTGTTCTTATATTATAAAATACATCATGCTTTTGTTTTCAATGTTAATTTATCTTTCTTTCTTGGTTTAATTAGTAACTTTTAATTATATTATATTGCTATTTTAATAGTTTTTTTTTATCAAGTATTGTTTAAATCTTGATATATTTTTTATGTAAAGAAATCTTGATCTATTGCTTAATTGCCTATTATTAAGCTACTTTCAACTATCACCAGAAAAGTTTCATGTACAAGTTCAGAACTTTAGAACTATTAAGAATTATTTTGAAGCCAAAATCATTAAAATTACGTCATATTGCATATATACATATATATATATATATATACATAAAAAAAGAGTAAAAAAATAATTTAAGCTAGAAACAAGATAACTTTATACCAACCTTTACAAACTTTATAGTACTTATTGGATAAAAAAGTTTATATTAATTATGTTGCTTAATGCATATCTCAATGTAAATATATAAATATGATAACTAATTAATATGGATCAAATAACTGTAATAGGAAAATTAAGTAAGAACCTCATTTTTTTTAATTCCTAAAAATAGTAAACGTCGCATTTTATGGAATTTAAAGTGTTCTTGATTCAAAATTTTGGCATGTTATTTTGATGGGAAATGAGTTTTTGATTGTGTTATTTCATAATAAAAATAAAAAATTTTGATAAATAAGTCTCCTCACATATTTGACTTTGGGATGATTCAAACTATCATTTAATATGTAATAAACAATTGATTTTTTGTAAAATTAACTATTAAATCTTTTAGTATGAAATTATGCACTTGTTTCCTATTTACCCTCTTCACATACTTTTAATTTGATCTATTTTTTCTTTGTAAGTATTTAATAATATTTTCTTTGTCAATTTAACAATAAATGTTGAATAGTTCGGAGTACTTTTACTTTTCCAAACATTTGTAGTCTGTTATCATTTTTTAGTTATAGGAAAAATATACACTGTAATACACATTAATTGAATTTAATACTTCTATTTCAAATTAGTATGATAAATAGATGAGTAAATTATAATAATTAAAATTCATGTATCTATATTAGATATATTAATCATATAAGAGTAAAATCATTATCCGTGCATTTATATTTGATTTTATTATGATTATTGTTTATAATATGTTTTAAATTTTATCAAATTTTTAATTAAAAACTTTAATGTTATTATGATTTGATATTTTAATTATATTATATTTAATTTATATATATTTTAAACATGTAAGTAATTAAATAATATTAATTTATATTTTTACACATTTAAATAAGTAAAAATAATTTATGCATTGCATGGATAATAAGATAGTGTATATATATAGAAGAGGGATTATCTTACACACAAAAAAAAAGTTTTATACCTTTTTTTAGCAATTGACTTTAATAAATCTAAGAAATGAGATTAAATTATTTTTTTCTCTTTTTTACACTTTCTCTCTAATATCTTGGATTTATTGAAATTAATGACTAATTTTTTTTTAATTTTTTAATTTTATACTGATATAAGTTGATTACTTCCTCAGTCACACACACATACACACACATAGATACATTTATTCAACTCTTGTTCTAGCAACCATTTCGTCTATTCTACAAATTAGTTAGTTAAAACCTATATTTATTTGCGCAGGAATCAAGCAAATATATGATTTGAAGCTGACCCATGTCTATGCACATGAGCTTTTGCTTTTGATCTCTAAGTCGATAGCCGCTTTAAATGTTGACGAAATTCGTCAAAGTTCAGTGGTTGAGGCAATCATCAATGCTTCTGAGCGGGGGATGACGGAGTTTATCGTCGAAATCATTAAAACTAATCCAGATTTATTGATTAGTATTGACAAGAACAGCAGAACCATTTGCCATATCGCAGTTGCATATCGACAAGAAAAACTTTTTAGCCTCATAAATGGGCATGACGCTGTCAAGTATTATTTTCTTGATTTCACAGATAATTACGGTAATAATATGCTACATTTGGCAGGGCAACTAGAACCCACATCCCAGCTTAAGCTTGATCAAATCTCAGGTGCTGCTCTGCAAATGCAAAGAGAACTACAATGGTTCAAGGTCATCATCATTCTCTCTCTCTTTCATAATCCATCATATCTTTGAAGAATTGTACCTTTTGTCTAAATTAAACTTAAAAATTTAATTCTTTTAGTTTCTATAATGTTTCATTTTTATTCATGACATGAAATTTTTGAATTTTTTTTATCTATAACTTTGAATTTTATAGAGAGGTGGCATATTAATGAAATATATAATTCACTCAAGCATTTTATGTATAATTAAATAATATGAAAACAAAAAACCCTGAGAAATCTTTTGACTTATTAGATATCTATTCTCATTTAATTGAAGTTAAATTATGTTATAGTCCCAATCCAAAAGGGTTTGGAAAAAGTGTCATCTAAGTTTTAGAGTTTGTATGAATTATGAATTCAGGAGATAGAAAGCATTGTGCCACCAGCGTTTAAGGAATACAAAAATAGTTTCGGTGCAACTCCTTACGAAGCATTTGATCAAAGTCATGCAAACTTGATAAAAGAAGGGGAGAAATGGATGAAGGATATAGCACAATCATCTACGATTGTTGGCACTCTTATCATCACCATTATGTTTGCAGCTCTTTTCACTGTTCCAGGAGGCTACAATCAAGACACTGGTATTCCCTTACTCTTAAGCAAAAAACTTTTCAAGCTATTCATAATCTCGGATGCTATTTCTCTCTTTGCTTCCTCCACTTCCGTGTTGATATTCGTTGGCATCCTAACATCACGATATTCAAAGGATGATTTCCTCACGTCGTTGCCCAAGAAATTGATTATCGGACTTTCTGCCTTGTTCATTTCTATTGCAACAATGATGGTAGCTTTTTCGTCCACGGTTATTATCCTGCTAAAGGGACAACTAGAGATAGTTATTCCTATCGTTTTGCTAGCAACCATTCCGATTTGTCTCTTCGTGTGGTTACAGTTTCCACTTCTTGTTACGATTACCATGTCAACTTATGGACCTGGGATCTTTGATAGGAAAGTGAGGAAATGGCTGTAATTTTATGATTTCCCATAGGAGATGTAGATTGTGATTGTAAAAGATACTCATTTCATGTTTGGTGTCATTTGGAGCCGTCACTTATAAGAAGTTAAAGGTTTTTCACGTAAGTACTCACTATTCTAGTTTTTATCTTTGTATAGTTGCAGTAACCCTTCTTAATTGTTAAAATTGCGAACACATTTGTGGATCAAATTCTTCAATATATTGGGCAATTAAAAGTTGGCTTTGGTCAACTAAGTATATATATATTAATCTTTTTTTTTTTTTGTGCTCAGCCAAAATAGGAATTTTTAATAGATCAATAAACTCCGTTAACATTATAGATTACAATGACAAAGAACGTTTCTAGTTAACTTTCCTCCTTTGATCTATTCCCAAAGGTAGCTAGTAATATCATTGGTTAATGACGTCCTCAATGAACAAATTTTATTGACTCCTATAACTAAATTTTCTTACATAATAAGAGATGAATACAACGGCGGCGATTAAGCGAGTTGGGTTATGTTATTTTAAGTTATTTTAAGTCGAAGCATTTTGAATTTGAATAACTTTATATTCAAGTCATTTTAGATATAAATGATTCAAGTTAGAATTGTTAATTTTAAAATTGCTAATAGCTTTATATTGAAGTCATTCTAATTTTTAAAATTGAATCAGCTTGGGTAGTCCACATTTTACAAAATTAACTTTTGGATAAAAATCGGGTTGCTTACACATGTTTTTCCCAATCAAACATAAAATTTGAATCATCTGTAAACATACCTTCAGACATATACAGTTGTATTACATACATCCTAAGATTAATATATACACACACATATATATATATATAGATACTCAAAATTATTAGTGAAACCTTGAGGTATCATTTATGTAATCAATCTTTCTAATTTTTAAATCGTCAAAGCAAATCATTGCCGAGATTGACCCCATCACTAGCATTCCCAGTCTACCAACAACCACCTGTTTGATAAAATTCCTAAGTGAAACTCCATTACCACTGAACCCCTATTTCACCTCCATTCATACACCACTTTTTGATACAGGAGCTCAGTACTCTCTCTTCATTGTCCTTCTAGCTTCTTGACCTTAAACTAGCTTTACGACCAAATCCTCATTCTCCTACTATCCTTGCATAATAGCAATGGGAAATTTCTTTAAGACAAAATCAAAAGCACAATCCCTTAACCCCTTTTTTCTTTTACTCGAGAAGCTTCCCTCTTTCCTCTCTGCAAAAAAAAAAAAAAAAAAAGTTCAAACGCTTCCAAACCAGTAGTCAACCATTATAAGTTTCCCTCCATTGTTATGAACTGTTTTTTTCGAAGGTCTAATATTATTTAGTTGCTAGTCCTTTCAAATTATATGTCCAGGAGTCATGCTTGGCTAAACCGAGGTTAATTCTAAGATGTTCTCTAGGGGAATTAAGGAGAACCCCTTATGCAACTCGTCGGCAGCATCTTACTCTTCATAGAGATCAGGCAGCATCAAACTAATGCAAGTTCCCAAAGTGAAGGTACAATGATGTGTTTTTCATTTTACTAATTTTCTCGAATTATGGTATGCAAAACATTTTTTGGAATTGTTCAAGTGCTGTGGTGATATTGCTAATGTGTACATTCCTGCTAAGAGAAATGTTAGGGTGAAAGATATGGTTTTATCAGCTTTTAGAATGTGTATGATGTTGAAAGCTTGCTAGCATCTTTGGATTGTATTTGGATTGGTAGTTTTAAACTTAGTTTCTTCAAAGCTAAGAATCCGGAGTTTAACATGTAACGTTTCCTAAGCCTAAAGAATCTAGTAGTAAGTCTAAGGTTCCTTATAATAATTGTAATTGTAAATCTTATGCGGAGGTGGTAAAAGGTCGATGATCAGAAAAACAAAATACCTCAAACACCCATAAAAACTTGTTGGATCCTAGGTTAGAGAAAAAGGATGTTTCATGCATGGAAAATGGGGAAAAGGCTAAAAAGAGTTTAATTTCTAATTGCACAATTTTGTAAAAACATAGGCCATTCAAGTAATAAAATGATAGAGTAAAGTATCATTCTCATGAGAACTAATGAAGAAATCCTAGGTAATTACCTATTATTGACATACTCTATCTAATGTTAATTCCTTCGAAAATAGTACGCATCACTATGCTAAAATTGAAGGAAAAACATGAATCAAGAAATTAAAATGCACAAACTGAAAATACACTAAAGCATTTGTAAAGAAAACATAACCTAAATCATAAGCAAAACAGTAGGCAAATGACATATATTGAAATCAAACAACAAAGAAAAACATTTCTAAACTGATGAATATAAAACATAAACTTGGATTAAAAAAACAAAACAACAAAGGAAATGCTTGAATATTAAATGCAACCTAGAACCAAAATTACTAAGCAAGTAAACTCAAAAAGTAATTGCAACTTACTTCTAAATGAACTCAATTTAAAACAGAATTATAAATGCAAAAACAATAATGAAACATACATTAAAATGTAAAGGAATTGAAGTTGCTTAAAGGAAAATACAAAGAAAGGTAAAGAACATCACAAACCGCAACCTAGATCTAAAGTTGGAAGTGTAGAAATGCTAGAAGTAAAAGCTAGATCTATAATCCTAGAAGGCAATTGAACATAAAATGAGCTAAGGCAACCTAGATCTACAAGTTAACTACAAAATCAAATAAAGAAATCAATCAAAATAATGCAGTAATAAGCTCAATCAACTTCAACAAAAATCAAGTGCTGGAAGTTGTAAAAACATAAATTGAAATAAGACTAGGAATCATAAAACTTCAAGTAAACAAGTAAAATAACAAGTGTAGAAGAGATCAAGAATCAACCAGCTGCCTAGTATGGAGAAAAGCCACCACAAGTATTGTCGCCACCTCTTGCCTTCTCTGCTGCTAAATTTTTAGCCAAAATTTGGATGATTTTTAGCAAAATAATGTAGACTGTATTTGACAATGAAAAATTTTAGATATAAAGTTCTATGAGTTCAAAGTTTGCAAAAAAATTTTTGAAGCAAAACAAGTAAGATTTGAAGGAGAAAAGCTATGAAAACCGAAAGTGTTTAGATTAGAAAACTACCAAACAATATTGAAATTGTAAAGGAAAAGCTTGTAAATGTACAAGAAAACCTTAAAAAAATTAAATTACATTGTAAGAAGCTTAAAGTGCATGAAAAGTAAATGCACGAAAAGCAAATTTTGCTGGAAAATTGAAGGAATTTTCTCTCCAATGAGCCCTTTAAATGAACAAGGAAGAAATTGCTAGAGAGAAAATGAAGAAGAAATATAAATCACAAGAAATGAAAAATGTAAAACTAACTCTAATCTAACTTTCCCTCTTTAGCTGGCCACTAGTCCTATATATAGGCCAAGGATAATATGTTCCAACCAATCAAATTAAAAATAAAAATTCAGTTAGGATGCCACTTGTAAAAGATATTTCCATGTCATCTAAGCGTGCTTCATAACTTCTTATTTTGCTTCTCTTTTCTTTAATACTCTTCAAGCTCTCTTCTTTTGATCTTTTGAGCTCTAACAAGTCAAAATTAAGACCAATAAGAAGCTTCCAAAACACCACATTAGCTGCTGGTTATTGTCTCTACAATTAAGTCCAATAAGAGGCACCAACTCCTTTGATCTCCACTTGATGTATCCAATTGGCTAGCAAACACTCTTTATGAAATTTTAGGCACCAAATTTTGCTTAAATTCTTCCTTGAAGTTCCAACCAATGAGAAACCTTCTGAATGCAAATTCATCCATGAAAAATTCCAAAAACTTCTAGCTCAAATGGTTGCTCCAAAACAACTTTTATTGCTTTTCCTCCTATTTAACTCATTCAACTTTACTACAATGATGGCAAACACTTAATAAGCTAAAAAGGCTAATTAAACAAGAAAAATTAGAAGGAATAAAAATTGAATTGAATTTCATTAAAGCTTAAAAAATCAAGGGAAGTAATGAAAAAAGGTTAGGAAATTTCTCCTGAAATTGGCATTTGCATAAGCTTCACAGTAGTTCGGCCAAATGGTAAGTTTTTGAACCAAAATGCATCCAAAATGACTCCAAAATTGTATATTTCCTCTTTTTTTTTTTCTCATATTTTTACCTACATATTAAATATATAAGTAATTAGGAATATTTTTGCCATAAATTCTTGAAGAATAAACAAATATTCACTAGAAAATGCCCTAAAAAAATATGCTAAAATGCTAAAATTTAAATGCAATCAATTTCTATCTTTTATGCAATTTCATTTGATTATATAAAATTCTATTTGAATAATGGCTTTTTTTTTGTCAAGATTAATCTTGATAAGATACTAAAAGCTTATGCTTCAAAAAGTTTAAAGGATTATATGCAAAATTTTGAGAAGGAAAAGTCTCATCAAAGTCTTATAGTAAATATGCCTATTTCTATTGAATCCAAGGAGTTGTGCAATGAATTGACATAAGCTTGTCATTTTCCTTTGAATGATGGAAGTCTATGATATTCTCTTGAAAGTAATTCTGGTGGTTTTGCTGTGTTTCCTAATTCTAATGTAGTATCGAGTGAACCTAGTAGTAATGGTGGTTGTTTAAAAATGGTTGAAAATGGAATTGGCAAGGGGGTACATGGGGAGAGTGAGCCATTAGAAGATAGTTTGAGTTTCAAGTTTGTGAGCTTAAATATAGAAGTCAAAGAAGAGAAAGATATGAAATGTTTTGAAAATGATGTGACTGACTTTGTTAATAAATTTGAAGAAAATGACATTATTTATGAAGTTATTGAAGACACTTTAGATTACTCTTGTAAGAAAAAATTAATATTTCAAAAATTAAGAAAAAGAAATGTAAGAACTACAAATGGAGTAGAAATAAGGGTCATTCAAATACTAGAGCTTGTATTCCTACTCCTTTAATGATTTTGGAAAGTGATAATTGCATTTCAGATAATGATATCCAAAGGAGAAATTCTGTGCAAAGATATAAGGCTATCAAAACTTAAGAGAGTAAAAAGTCTTGGGTTTTGCTTTGCAGGTGATGAAGAAGTCATTACTGAAAAATTGATGGAATTGGAATTAAAGGATCTGGATGAC